TATATTTCTTGTGCCGTCATACCAAAAACACCTCAGTGGTGTCCTTTTCACAAAGAAATTTGATATCCTTATATGAACTAAAACACATTGTTTAAACATTTTAGCTTTCCAAACCAATATACAGTAGCTTGAACCTTATTTGTTAAATATTTCAATAAACCACCAAGAACAGGTGGTTTTTCTTTTTACGTCCTTTGTTTGGATTTTACGTCACACATACATATAACTTGTCATACTTTGAAGATATTTACGACATTCATTTCTAGACATCACGTACAAACACTCCCATTTACAGACATACATTGTGAATATATGGCTTAACATCTATATAAAATAACTGAGACGGTAATAAATAATTCTTTATTGCTCTATATAGATGGATTAGCGTGAGTTTATGACTGCAATTTTACTTAACTTTAAAAGCTCCGTAACGTAACAAGGTGATTTGATGATATTTTTAAGGTTAAAACTTACTATGATAATTAATGTCTAATAATACCAATATCATGTAAACAATGATATCATAAATAATGCGTGTCTCATTGATTTCAAAAATATGACGTTCGGAACGTAACAAAAATATGTTTTCACGATAATATTGATGATGACGTTTTATTTTATACTTCCAATAAGACAACGCATTGTTATGGTAACAGAATGTGTTGTTCTTCAAGGTTTTATTGCTTTATTTACCGAAACGCTGGTTGCTTACCTCCCTTAAGTTTAAAGAAGAAGAAGTAGCAGTAGTAGTAGAAAAACGTTTATTTATTACTTAAACTACAAGTTTCTCGTGATTAACATTTAAACAAGCAAACACATAAAAGGACATGAAAAAAGCCAATGACATGAAAATAAACATGACATACAATTTATTTTAGTTTGATTGTGTTGGAAGCTATAGGATTACAGAAACACTCTCGAATCCGTTCCTGGAACCAACCTGTTCTAAGCAATGTTTGTAAATTTTCTTGCTCAAGGAAACAATCTCCCTTTGGCAATTGGTTTTGAGTGATTGTTGATACCCACCCATCATCAGTAAATGTTATCCTGGAATTTTTATTCTACGGGAATTAAATTACATTTTCCTTTGTCTGAATGTATTGACTATCTTAGCAACATTTTAATTTCTAAGTAACAATCTTTTATACGTTACGGAAAAAAAAGAAACCTCCATTTAGTGCGATCACAATGTTTAAGCCGGCTAATTTATTTCGATTTGATCGAATCGATTTATGTTATTTACAAAGACTAGACTAATTTTGTCATCTCATAATGCCTAGGCGAAGTCTTGTCAAAAAGAGAAACAAATGTTTTGTGTTGATTAAAGACAAAAAGATACGTTCTCGCCCTGACAAAAACATCAAGCATATCGAGAAAAAGTTTAACAATATAATTTCTTTTCATATTTGTGAACAAAATAAATTGATATAAATATCTAATTAGTGTGGAACTAAATGGAGCCCCTTTAACGTTTCCGTAATGAATCAGTACACCAGCAGTAAGAGGTTAGCTTGCAAACGGTGACCGATATTGCAGAAAGTGTATTTTTCAACATTACCGCACCTTTAATAATGCAACATGTCATTCAGGGGAAAACCTAGAATTAGTTCGAAAGTATCAACCTGCCATATAGAAAGAAAAAATGCCTTTTAGTCTAAACATACTTTTATTTCAAGACGAGTTATATTATATTAAGGTGGTTATGTAAATAATGTGCAGTGTTCAACTTCGTGATATGTAAATACATATAATACCCAGTATTAAACTTGATAATACGTAAATAATATGCATTATTAAGCTCTACACGAACATCACATTATATCGATTACATTGTTCGTTTACCGCATTATCCATAAGAACACGACAGTCAGAACAAATTATTATCATTACATCTACTCCCTTACATATTGCACAACCACGTGTTTTTTTTAATATATTAGTAAGGTGACATGTCAGTAAGGCATAAGTCGCTAGTAGTGCTTCAGTACGAAGACGTTTAAAAAGATCGTGATATGTTAGACGACTGATATCTGTTTGAATAAACCATTTTTTGTCATTCTTTGTCACTTTTCTTAAAATGCTTGAAGTTTTTTTCTAAGCGAAGTATATACTTTTTCGCCCAGACAAAAAAACCTTCAAGCATATCGAGCTCGAGCTCGGCGCAATAAATGTCGTTTTATTTTAGTGAATAAAATAAATTGGTTTCTGTTAAAATATCTAATTAAATCTTATAATCTCATTAAAACCAGTCTACTTACACACCATGATCTCACGTTTTGGATGCATTTTAGCGTTTCCTTTCTTCAGGATAACGGGTATATTGAAAAAGAATTTAGATTTTTGTTCCTTATTTTTGGTTTTTATCTCTCAGTTGCTTAATTTCTTTAAAAGGTAAATATACATGATGAAATCGGTAGAATCCTTGGTAATAATGAGAAAAAATAAACTTGTCATGATCATGCTTTCAAACTTCATTTTTGTTTTATATAAATTAGAGAAGCAGGTTAAAAATGATACGGAGAAGTGTAATAAAACTGTTTACTATTAATTCTAGTACATTTAATATGCAAATCGTTCCGGCCGCCTTGCTCAAGAACATTAGTTCTCACAAACACACAAAAATATAATTTCCTGTTGGCCAATTTAATCTTGTTTTATGAGTATTTTAAAAACACTATACTTAAGATCTTATTTCGGAGCAAATGTTATTGTTGTTTAATTGATAAAAGAAAAAAAAACATGTTTTATTGAAATGTTGAGTTGGCATTAACGCAAAGTATGATTGTCTTCCTTAGGTTTATAAAAATGTTCGATCAGAATATATCATTTTGTGTGGGCTGAGTTAATCTCGTTTGATGAAAATTAAGAAAAGGTCATAGATATGTTTTAATGGAAATGTCCGTATGTAATAATTATTTCTACTAGTAAATGTCACTTTTGTCCCAGAAGACATATATTTATCGAACAGTAATATCATATACTCGAAATTACTTAGATACTTTTCGTTGAGATAATATAAAAAAAAAACTTTCACCAATATTGCTCACTATTTCAACAACCCACAAAGTTTTACAATTTGAAATTTGTTTGTTTGTTTTGGGTTTTACGTCACATCGACACAGTATAGGTCATATCGCGACGTTCCAGCTTTACTGGTGGAGGAAGACCTCAGGTGCCCTTCCGTGCATTATTTCAGGCACGAACGGGCACCTGAGTAGAACCACCGACGTTCCGTAAGCTAGCTGGATAGCTTCCTCACATGAAAGAATCCAAAGTCCCTGTCGGGATTCGAACCTACAGCGGTGAGGGGCAAGTGATTCGAAGTCAAAGACCTTAACCACTCGGCCACGGACGCCCCCTATAATTTGAAATAATCTGTTTAAAAATGTATAAGAAACACTGGTACTGAAGGTGAAAAAAACAGTGAATTCGGCATTCATGACAATAGAATTAACTGCTTAATTCACATAGACTTGAATGCGAAAATTATGGCACGACATTTGAAAATGTTGAAAACTAAAGAAACCTGTCCGAGGTGGTTGACCAAATTCAAATAATTAAACCTAAATAACGGTCTTTTTGCTTACCAACCCAACGACTGCAGACCAAGTCCATGAAATTTTCATGAAATTTCCCTGGAGCTTGAAATTAATTGTGGTATTCGACGGTTCTAAATCAAAATAAAACTACATGTATATTTACCTAAACAAATGATTCTTTACTTTCAGGAGAGAGCTTATACATACGATTATGAACATTTGATGTCGGCCTATTGAACAGAACATGACATAATACAGAAATACACGTGGTCAAGGTCGATTCTGAACTTTTAACAAGCCTTTATCGATTAATCAATGTCTGTTTTTCTCATAGTATATTTTTAAGAACAGAGACAAGAGTATGCATACATTCGACACTGTAATATACATGGCTCTAGAAGAATAAGTCGTTTAAGAGACATTATGCGGTGGCATTAACTATATTTATCCACTTGTTTATTCACAATTTCACACAAAATAAAATCACATTATTCTTTAAATGTATTTATGTTTTGTCGCTTAGTTAAACTGCAAAAATGATAATCGAAACATGAATTCGATCAAACAAAAATTTTGTTTGCTTGACATTATTGCCTGTAATGTAAATTTCTCCTTTTGTTCGAAGTCTGTGATCTACAATTGCACTTTATGTCTGCTGGATTTGTTTATTAAGAAACTTCTTTGATCTAGATGCAACATCTGACAATATTCATTATATACGTCTCCAACAGGCACTTTGGATTGTTTTATGTTGATGAAGCGATCCAGTTACATAACGAAATACCTAACGGTTCTACCCAGGTACCCGTTTGTGTCTGACATAATGCACGGTTGAGAACCTAAGCCTTTATCCACCAGTATATCTAGAAAGTCACCATATGACCAAGACTTTGTTGGTGCGACATAAATTCCAACTAAAATATTATATATGTGTAAATCTTAAGCTATAAAAATGGAAACACATTTAAACATCTTTTTTTACTGAATCAACTGATTGATGATCTGTAGCATTCTAAGATGGTCTGTTATCAAATTTGTTGTAATAATTTTAATTGGCTCCTTTTAGGGGCCGCTAAAGTTGGAAAAGATGAAAAAAACTAAAAACATCCTTTTCTACTGACCAATTAACAAATTGATAGACGATCACCAACTTTTGTCTGTAGCATTTAAATGGTATGTTATAACATTTGTTCAAATTAATTTGATTGACCCCTTTTAGGGGCATACAGAGCTAAAAAAGAAAATAGAAACACCTTTTAACATATTCTACTCAACTATTGATGGCTGATCACCAACTTTGTCTGTAGCATTTTTAGGGGATTTTTATAAGGTTTTCTCTAAGTTTCCCCTTTAAGGGACCACTGGAGCTGAAAATAGACATAATTAAGCGTCTTTTTAGGTAATTGATGGATGATCAACAAGCTTTATCGATAGCTTTCTAAACAGAAAAGAAACATCAACAACAATGAATGCCAGGAAACTATATAATTAGAGAGGCAAGTTGAAGTTGAACTGGACTTGCCTTGCGGCAAGTTCATTTGAAAAAAATATTTTAACATAAAGAATATGGTATAATAATATCTTGGTATTTAGATACCTAATCGATTTTTACAGCAGATAATTTATCTGAAACATTGCTTGCTTTATTTAATACATTATATTTTACAAAACAAAAGAAGGACAAAAAAACATGAAATTATAATTTTGCAAAAATATCTTCTCTTTTAGTTGAATAAAATACGTAATTGTTTAAAATACCCAAATAATCTTACGACAAATAAAAGCAATCATGTAATTATTTCAGATTAGATGGGCAAATTGTTATATTTTAAGAATATTATTTTCTTTATTCTTTTTTTTAATATTTATATTCACATGTTACGCATCATACACGGAACCAATGAAGCTCTTTCTCCATCCAGCACGAAGCCTTTTCCTCAGCCTATCTATAACCTTCCGGTATGCCGGGTCATTTGCGCAGTTGACGTTCTCTTCTGGGTCAATGCGATGGTCGTACAGCTCCACACTAGAAGAATCTGACCATTGTGGCTTAAATTGTAACTTGTCAAACCTTGGCCATTCCGTATATCGAAAATTAGTTGTTTTTATAGAATATCCCATAAAATCATCGCGTGGAGTTTGTGAAAATGCTGAACCTCTCAGTCGTTTATCCGTTTCGTTTATTAGAGGTAGGAGACTTACACCTTCGCGACACAATTCAACAACATTTGAATTTTCAGGACACGGTGGCAGTGGATTTAATCCTGCAGCCTCAACTAAAGTTGGAAATAAGTCAACAAACTCCACAAGTGAGCTGCTTCTTGTACCTACGTTAGTCTTTCCAGGAATATGAATCATCATAGGCGCATGCGCAGACAGCTCAAAATTGGTTTGTTTTCCCCATGACCCGTGTTCACCAAGCTGAAAACCGTGGTCCCCAATAAACGAAATGATGGTATTGTTTGATAAACCAAGTATTTCTAACTCTTGTAAAATACGACCAACATGATGGTCCACCCAGGTTACAGAACTATAATATGCACGGCGTAAAGACAAAACTGTTGAATGTGTCAACCTTGCATTGTCTCTAGTCCCTGTATATTTTACATCACTATAACTTGTGAACCTTTTAAACTCTGTCCACGACAAGGTAGGCATATCAATTGGTGGACTTGGATTATGGGGCAAAGATACCTCTGGATAATATTCTAAAACCGATGCCGGAAATACAAAGGGTAAATGGGGCCTTCTAAAGCCTACTGCTAAGAAAAATGGTTGTTTGTCTGTGCTGTTATCGAGAGAGAAGTTCCGCATTGTTTCAATTGCATGATTAGCTGTTTGGTCGTCCAACAAAGGTTTGGAATCAAGTTCCTCGTCTGGTATCGCCGCCCAGCTTGTCGAAATTTGTTCATAGTTACGAGCTCCATGGAAATATGGTGCTGACCAAGATATAGGATCATTCCCTCCTGAATTTTTACCTTTAAAGTGAAATATTTTTCCCATTCCTATTGACTTATAACCGTTCATTTTAAAGTACTGCGGTATTGTTGTAAAATTACCTCCTTTCTTCCTGAAATATTCACCGCACTTATAAATATGTGTAGTGTCAGGTCTACGTCCAGTTAAAAAAGATGCCCGACTAGGTCCACATAGTGCTTGCTGGACATAAGCGCGTTCTAGCAACAAGCTCCGAGATGCAAGGGAATCAATATTTGGTGTATACATTTTAGTAGAGACATGCGGTGGGTAACTGTTTGAATCATATGCTCCAATTTGCGGCCGTAAATCATCAGATACCAGGAATAGAACATTCATTTTGTCAGTGCACACGTTTCCACATAACACCGTAAGAATAAATAGTATAACATTCAATGTTTTAGTGCACATGTCAACCACTTTTTGGAAATAATTGTAAATAAAAAAAACTGTATTCAGTATTGTGCAACTTGTATGTGCAATTTATTGTATGTATATTTCAGTTATTTTTAAAGATTATATTTTCCAGCTTTAAGTATCAAATCTTAGTTTTACAAACTTTCGCCAGTATTCTTTACTCTTTACATATTACATGAAAATATATTCCATTAAATCACAATGCCGAGGCTAGACATATCCACTCTTAACTAAAATACAATAATGATCAATTTACATTCATTATCTTCCAGAACAAATCTACAACAAGTAAAATCGCCTCAGGTTATTGATAAAATCTTAGGTTTGTCAATTATATGAAAAAGTTAACAAAAATAAAAAGTAAAACGCCTCCACACAAGACCATTAATGTTGAGTAATATGAACAACTCCTGCAGTTTTTCACAAATTTATATTTTAAACGAATTTACATCGTTCTTCACCCTTTATTTATTTAATCTTAAACTGCTGCTCTCAAGAGCTTTTGTATGTTAACATAGAAGTTGTTTTACTATTGTCTTTCAATTTTTCCAAATAAACAACCTCCTACACATGGCATTGAGAATTACTTGTCTTCAAATGTGATGAAACATGAATATGCCTCTATTTTGTAACAATTTAGGATAAATGCTATTTATCCCAGTTATGTAATGGTTTTAAAGCTTACAGTGTACGTAAAACTGCTAAAGAATACAATTTAAACAGATAATAGTGTACAATGTACATGGAATTGCAAAGCAAGGTATAAGCATTCCAAAGGTTTGATCCCCCTCTCCCTAGTTGCCCCAACCCCCTCTTCCCTAAAAATGAAATTTTATTACCGGAAGCCCTGAAAAGAAAGTCAGAAAATACATCTGAGATACGGTCTGACGTGGGATTTAATTGTATTGAAGCCCTGAAAAGAAAGTCAGAAAATACATCTGAGATACGGTCTGACGTGGGATTTAATTGTATTGGTCAAATGTAATAATAACTTGGTAATCATGAACAAGCCCTTTTTAGGTATTGTTTAACATATTACGCAAGGTGTTTTAACCTGGGAACAATTTATCTGTATTGTGAAATATATCCATATAACGAAAACCGAAGAAATGTGACTTATTCATCGGTTTACAAAAAAACAATATAAGCCATAAACTATTCAATGTGTTAAACCATTTTGTAAACTTAAACATAACTAATTGCAAACTACAAACTTTGCGTAGTATAAAATTGTAATATTACATAGAAAGCGAGGTACAGAGAATATCTTTAATATCAAGAATACAAATTTTATCAAATTCATAAATAATATATAATTATATTAAACATTATATATTTAAAATTTTTTTTTACGCTATCTATAAATCAACACATAACATCAGCTTGCGTCATAACAATATAAGACAATTGCGTGATTACTTTAGTTTATCTTATTTCGATATTTCTTGAACTTTCTCTATTCATTTAAACTTTGGAAAGGTTTGCACATGCATAAAAAAATATTAACACTTTATTTTATGATATATTCTTTTATGAAAATTACGATCGCAGATATGCATGAACAGAAACAGAAAACATGTATTAACGGATAAACACATCGTCGAAGCACTTTCTTTTCATGCTATCGTTTTCAGAGCCTAGTTTCCAATTCAACAGTCGCGTAACAATATAGTTTAAGTCAAAATAATATCATTCAAACATTACGTATGAAGTTATAAATTTCTTGAATGCCGTTTCTTCGACGTAATTAAAATACAAATTTCAGTTTATTTTATGGGAAAGAACTACAATACTCGCTATTTGTACAATTCTTTTGTCTATCAAGAATATTAGTTATCCGTAGCTTTGCATGACAATGTTATTATGTGGTTTTATTGGATAACTCAGATAACGTTTCATTTCGGACCAATTTCCCTTAAATAATAATTAATCAAGAACAAACGAAAACATAAATGAATAATTTCATTGAAAAATTCGCTTTCCATCAATATTTCAAGAAATGTGATTATTAGAAAAATAGCTTATTTCAAGGCAGTTCCGGTAATATCATATTAATCAAACCATAACTGTTAAATGACATTGCATTAGCGTCTTATAAAATATTCTCTTTTTTTTCGTGTATTGAAAAATAGAAATATGTTTTTGTTTAATTTTTATTTCATTAATTTATTCATTTATTTATTTTTTGACTTCTCTGTAGAAAGTTAATCGTTGAACTATAATCATGTTCTGCATATGCAGATTTGTCCTATGATGAACGCTATAGTATAAACATGGAATTACAGTTCAGGATATGTTAACATTGGTTCTAATATATCTCCCGTGACAATGTTTGTTTCAAATCATCGCTATTAATGGAAAAAATCATGCGGACCAATATGTGCGTTTTATTGGGTTCTCTCAAATGTATTAAATAAGCGATATCTTTAAACCAAAATCATTACAATTATTGCTCAAATATGGTTAATATATTTCGGACAATTTATGTACGTTAGTAAACTTATGTGTCCAATGAGACATTCCAGGAAACATGTCCTCTCATTTTGTTACGAAAGTCTAATATATCGGACATCGAGTGAAAATATACTTTACTGTCTTTATTAATATATGTCCTATTTTGCATGCAATCGCCTGATAGTTATGAAAGACAGGTGTGCAAGACAACCTTTTGAGGTCATACATCTTGTGAACTATATATAGATTCTATAGACTGGATTTAACCGTTCCATTGATACTATAATATTCTTCAGATTTAACATCATCAGAAATGATAAATTTGTCAAAATCATAATTAGATTTGACACTTTTTTTTCTTACATATCTGACAAAAACATGATCATCTACTGTAAACACAGGTAGTCCCTCACCGCCATGGGTTCGAATCCCGACAGGGACTCGGGATTCTTTCATGTGAGGAAGCTATCCAGGTAGCTTACGGAACGTCGGTGGTTTTACTCAGGTGCCCGTTCGTTCCTGAAATAATGCACGGAGGGGCACCTGAGCTTTTCCTCCACCAGTAAAGCTGGAACGTCGCTATATGACCTATACTGTGTCAATGTAAAACCCAATCAAAACAATTAACAAACAAGCATAATGATAAGCTTGGTAATTGTTATATCTGGAAGCCCTGTTAAATTACGGATGTTATTGTCTTAACGTCGGGCTTAATCATACGTCAAACCGTGATAAAACGAAAACCATTAATTAAAGAATTATCTATAATAAAGAAACAATGCAACATGTGCGTATTATAGTTATTTACACGTGTAGCGTTATAGATTAGTTTAGATTTTTTTATATTCAAGATATATCACTGTTGTAATAGCTTTATGTAGGTTAGAAAAAGACCAAGGTGAGTTTGAGGTTCTCAAATGAAATCATATAACCAGTACATTTCTTTATATACATGTAGGAAAAGATATATATGTATAAACTTCGATTTTCAAAGTCTTTTATATGTTTATACCTATTTCATGCAATTATAATGATATACACTTACATGTATATTGCTTCAAGCCAATTATACGTAAGTCTATAGAGATGAAAGGTTGATGATACGATCAAGTATATAAGATTTAACAATTTAATTTATACTGTTTTTGCAATTACATGTATAGTGATAATTATTTCTGATACATATCTTAATGGCCCACGGTTATCTATATGAATGTACAATTTTTTAAAGTTGAATTGTTATAGTGTTTTTAGTGTAATGTTTATAAATCACATGTTTATGAACAAATGCGTGAGACATGCATTTCTAAATAGGATGGTTGCTAGAATTATAACAGATACGTTTGTAATCGTTTATAAAGATTCCCCGGCGCGAGCTTTCCCAGACCATATAAATTTAATCTTAAGCCATTTTCTATTAACGCGACATTATGCCCATTCAAGAATATATAGTGAGTGAACTGTTGAAAGTACTTTTACATTTTTGCATTTTTTCTTTCAATTCTATAATCAATTTCGCATGAACGACAAATAATTCACATGGCCTACGAACATGCCTAAAAATATCCATCGGAGTTTCAATGAGATTTTTTTTTTTTTTTTTTTTATAGTTTTGGTCACTTGTCATTCTGTCATTTTATTTTCTATTTAAGAGGCATTAATCATTATAAGTTTTGTATATCTCCCGTGACAATGTTATTTTGTAATTATACTTGTTATTGTTTATTACCTATGTTTGATGGAGTTTTTTTGTTTGTTAGCTGTTTATATTCATGTGAAAATGTGTTTCCTATGAATAAAAAAACTGAATAGAATATAATTGGAAAATTACACGCAACGTTCAATTTTCAAATAGAGTAGGCTGTCTTTTTATTTTTTAAGCAGATTTATATTTTATTCTAAATATAAATGTTGGTCAGTCATCATTACAACAGTCAATATTTTGGAATATATAGTATATTTGAGCCGCGCCATGACAAAACCAACATAATGGGTTTGCGTCCAGCATGGATCCAGACCAGCCTGAGCATCCGCGCAGTCTGATCAGGATCCATGTTGTTCGCTGTCAGTTTTTCTACTTGTGATAGGGTTTGTAAGCAAACAACATGGATCCTAATTAGACTGCGCGGATGTGCAGGCTGGTCTGGATCTATGCTAGTTGCAAACGCACTATGTTGGTTTTGTCATGGCGCGGCTCATTTCAGCTTAACTTGAAGACGGAAAAAATAAGTTGAATATTACTTTATGCTCTATAAAAATGACGTCATATATATCAGTTGCCCTGAGTACTCTAGTCAAGTCATTTCTTTCTTTCTTTCTCTCTTTATCCGTTGCTAAATTAACGGTTTTTAAGAGCATTTTATATCGATAATAATTTTGAGGGAATACAAAATTATGAAAAGAAACAAATCATCAAGGAAAGGCGGCGCTCAATGAACGCAACCCCCACATGACCCAGGCATACAGAACCAACGGCAAGGACAGAGCACAAGGCAAATAACGGAAGGGACGATTACTCTGCTACATGTAATACATGTAAGGATTCAACAGAAACCGAAAAGAAAAAAAAAAAACAAAAAACGATTGATTGTTAGACCTACAAAAGTAAAGGGCTGTAGGGGAAAGGGACTATAAGGTCGGGGGAGGGGTGCACAATTAAGATTAAACAAATCTTTGGGTAAAGGGAAGATACTTACTGTAGACGAGAAAACATCAAGAGAGGAC